CAGTCATGATAAGGTAAGAAAACAACACAAGTTTTTCAGACTTATCTGACCTGTTCACTGAAGAATAACATCCAGCAACATCAGAAAATAAAAGAATCTTAGTGAAATGTCCATGAGTTATATTTGTTCATGCCTGTTATTGCAACTGGCCTGAAGAAAAGGAAGTGCAAAACCTGGGGGAAAAAAAAATAAAAATCAATGTATAGGCTTGGATTTTGTCATTAGTGCAGCACCAGCCCAAAGTCATCATAGCTTGTAAAGACATTAGTTCCATCACAGCATAGAAAAAAATGCCAGAGAAGAATATTCTTCTGCTACTTGGGAGGCTGCACATTAGTGCATCAGGAACAGAATTAGCAGAGAAGACTATGACTGAGGTAGGACAAGCTATGAGACTGTGAGGCTGGCAAAATAAGCAATGTTGTACTCTGTGAGCAACTCCCTGGATTATACAGGCTGCACTCCACAGAATACCCTTCTGTAAGATTTTATCATTCTTGAAACATTCCATAACACATGGAGAAACACCAGGGAAATCTCAAGCTTATCTAATTTTAGTTATGAAACAAGCTGTAAAGCCATAGGAAAATGTGCTAGTGGAGAACTTTATTTTAAATCTTCATTTTCTATAGGCTAAATATGGTATTACTAACAACAATCTGATCAAAAAAGAATGTTACCAAACATACATTTATTAACACTTCCTAGTTTTCCTGTCTGTGTCTTCTCCTAAATATCAAACACCATTCTATTTTGTATTGGCATTATCTTGAGACATTACTGCATAAATATGGAACTCCACTGACATCACCCAAGAGCTCCCCTTCCAATGAATGGCTCAGTGCCCAGCAGTCTGTACTTATTCACTGAACCAGTCATTAAGGAATTACCGTTCTCTCAAAAACTCCTTTTTTTTTTTTCCCTTCAGTCTCTGTGGAAGGAATGGAATTCCCTAATAATCCTGTGAAACATAATTTGAATTTCTTAACTAATTCCATTAACAGATATTCCTGTGTTAATAACTGGGGTCACAGTCCCTCTAGTTTTACTAAATCAATTTATTTTATTTAGTTATTTTTTAAATTGCAAAACCAGTACTCTGCTATATGGTATCAGATTGAAACAAGAAAGCTGCAAATTTGCCTCACTGCTTCTGCCAACTGAACCAGCAAACTGAAGAAAGCAGTTCTGCAAGCATAAAGACTAATGAAATCTGCTGTTGCAGGATTGGATTCCTTGGTAACTGATCAGATACTATCCCATCTTACGTCTCTCCCAGCTGTGCTTTGTCTTCCTCCCCCACAGAGAGTCAACTTTGCCTGGTAATGAGTACAGTTTGCAATACAGCCCTGGGTATTTTCATATGGCATCTTTCCTTTCCTCAGCTTCTTAGCTTCATAAAACTTCTAGAAATGTGGGGGTATCAGACTTACACCTCCTTCCCCTCCCAACTCCTTCCTCCCAAAGAAAGTTGTGCTGAAAATTATTTGAAAGCATTTAAAGAATTATGAAGGATGAGTAAGGTAAGTAGGCATAGTCGCTATCTTAGATTTTAGCCAGTGTAACAAGACATCTCTGAATTATTAATGAATATTCTGGATAACATACTGCTACATCTGCAAAAGGCCTACTTCTATGTCCTATGCAAATGAATAGATTTTGTAGGTAAGCATTATAAGTAGAATTAATATCCAGAGAATGCAGAAGAGGGATGACAAGAACCATATAATTTAATATGTACAGAAAGAATCAGTATTTGTGCTTTCAGAAAGTTCCCAGAATGCTTCTTGATCTCCATAATCTTTGTGTTAAATTTCCCATTTCCACGCTATATATAACAAATCTTATCCTCCAAGTTTCTGAATGTAACTGTCAAATTTCTACAGCTGTTTTCCTCCTTCTACGTACTTTGGTATTATTGAAAGAACTCTTAAAAAACCCTAAAAAGTTAGTGATACCTTCACAAATGAAAATCCAATTTGACTGTGTTCCATAATCATTCAGTGAAGCCAGGTGTTACAGTGCCATTGTTCTCTAGAGTTTGGAAATGAGTACAGTTATGCTGGCATACCAGCATGAATTAAAGTAAGTGCCTATACAGTTTACAGACTAAAAGGACCATAAACTATTATTGAATTTAGCCTGTTTAACGGACTAACTACTTAAAAGAAACCCAAACGGCTTTAAAGTACCTTCATTAATCAGTATTTATTATTCTTTTAAAAGACAGAATAAGAATGGGCCCTTGACACATGACTTGTCTATGGGATTTGGCATATGTTGCTGGGTAGCACGGGAGAGCTGCCATTTTCTTGGTAACCTGCAGAGTAAGACTAAGAGGTACTACCCCTAAACATCTACTCCCCCTCTTCTCCATATATACTTAATGGTGGCACTGAATATGGGATTTTTTTCAAATAGAACTCTCCTAGGCTTTGGCTGCTAAATGTTGTATCACGATCAGCACATTATTTAAATATAATTACCTATATTCAGCTTTCATAAGGGGAGAAAAAAAAAAAAAGAGAGAACTTGTCATTTAATAGCATGTCTGTTTTAGAGAAGGTGTATAATTATGCTTTTAAAATAAATTTGGGTTCCAAGTGTAGCCTTAGCTTAGAGACAGGGCTCTTTCCAGTGAGGCGATAGCTTGATTCCACAGCAACCTGTTCCTAGATTCCCACCTCATGCATGCATGCTCTTGCTATGTTAAAAGCAGAAACATAGGAACAATTTAACAAAGGGGTACTTTTCCGCAAGAAATGGTATCTCTTGTGCTATACAACAGTATTGCTTCTGCAGACGCAGATAAGCAAGAAAATAGCATTAACT